CAGGTCAGAATTGGAATTCCCCCGTCCTGACCATACAATCCCCTCTCTAGCCACCCAAAAAACACCGACCCCTGCGAGTCTGGTGCCTGGTGCGCAGAATTAAACCGCAACCCAGGGGCAGGAGCGGGAAAGACGCTGCACAAAGCTGACCTTAACTCAAACTAAGTTGTAAGATCATCGTTGCTTTGCTCTGCCTGCTGCTGAACGCAAGTGGGACAAGCTCAAAGCCTGGCAGTTTCTGTAGCTGGAGACTTGCACACCCACGAAGTGTTTGCCAGCTGCGGGACAGGCTCCAAAGTCGTTTTTATTAGACGAGCAATGACAGACACTCCGCTGTAATCAGCTCGTTAGAGATCCAATGGATAAGCTAATTGCACGGGTCCCTGAATGCCTGGAGCTTGGAAATCCTTGCGTTTCGGAGAGCGCACGGACTCTTGGCCATATCGATTAGCACTTCCCGAAGGAAGAGGAGAGAATACACTTAATGCTGGCTGGTTCAGCGCACTGTATAACGGGACGCCTTTCTCTTTAAGCGTGTGAACGCCCCGCGGCCAGCCCGTCCTTCCCAAACTTCACCGACCCCTGTTTGGGTCTGGACTCTGGGCGGGGGTGTCGGAGGCGGATTTACCCCTAGCCACCGGGCCGCATGTTACGGCCGAAGCCTGGGGAAAGGCGTGTGCCCGGTTGTATTTTACACGGGAGTTCAGAACAGCCTGGGAGCTGCACACGGCGGGACACCAGGCTCGCAGGAGGAGAGGAGGCTGGTTTTTGGAGAAGACACTTGCTTGTGCTCCGGGTAGAGGCTCGGAGTTTGCCAGGCAGGAACTCCCCCTACTGTTAATTTCATAAGGCTGCAGCGGCGGGTGGGGAGAGCTCCTGTCTGCGAGCAGGGCTCGGCAGTGAGGTTAGAGGAAGCTGCTGCCCGAGCCTCGGACAACCCAGGGAGAGGAAAGGGCTGTTTGGAAAGGGCCGGCAAATCCGAGCGGCGTTAGGCGTTAAACTGTACAGCGCCGAGCCCGCAGCCCCTTGGAAAGACAGCGGGGCCGACGGAAAAAAAGGGAGGTGGGGAGAGAGGGGGTAGTGGCGAGTCAGGCGAGAAACGAGGCGTTTAGTGCAAAAAGAAAAAAAAATCGAAACTAGTCATAACAAATGCCAGCGAGCGTATTGCGCCGAATAAAAGCTAGTTCCCCAGCACCGCCCGTGGCAGTGACCTGCCCTGGGCTGCAGCTTTCCTTTGGCAAATGGCTCCCGCTGCTCTGGCTCAAACTAGCTCTTGCACTAGGCAGACCAGGCGCCGTGTGGACGCTGTCTGTGTGATCCGGCTCAGCCCAAGTCACTTCAGCAAAGCGTAGATCTGTCCAATAGGGTTCTCCCAAACTGTTCCAAGCAGGGTGACCAGACGTCCCGATTTTATAGGGACAGTCCCGATATTTGGGGCTTTTTCTTATATAGGCTCCTATTACTTCCCACTCCCTGTCCCGATTTTTCACACGTGCTGTCAGGTCAGCCTAGTTCCAAGGGTCTCTTGGACGGAGGAGAGCAGCAAGCCGGCCTTTGAACCAGGGAACTTCCAGGGAACACGCCCCCGTGCATCAGGCCTGTTAGCGCTGGCTGCACAGGGCCCTGGCCTGGGTGCCAGCGATCACACGGGTCTGGAGACACCTGTGCACAAGAGACCAGAGGAGCGCGGCTTCACACCATGAAAACCACAAAGAAGCGCGAGACCCTGGGGGGGGGGGGGGGGAGTCCTGCCTGGCCTCTCTGTAGTGGCCTCGGGGCACCTTCTCTCCGTTTCCAGAAATGCCCCATTTCTCCTTGGTCTCTGCCCTATGCCTCTGGAATGGGCTGCCTGGAATGGGCTGCCTGGCGGGACCCCTACCCCCCTTGTCGAGGCTGGGGGTGAGAATATACAGGCCTTTCTCCCATGGAGGCCAATGGCAGCTCCGGAGCGAAGGGCTTGGCCCTGTTTTCTGCGCCAGTTTATGTCTCTCCAGACTCTCCTCTGGGCAGCGGGGCCTGGGAAACGCAGTGCAATAGCGTCCGCCAGCCCTATTTCAAAGGAGGCGCAGACTCCCCGCTAAATACCTCCCTGGCTCCCGTGCTCCTGAGCGGCCGGGCACTGCCTGCCGCGGGGAAGGCTCGGCTCCGGGCCGAGCACGGGGAGAGGGCTGCGGACCCCCTGGCTCCGAGTTCAGAGAACAGAGAGCAACGTGCACGGCAGCTGCCCGGCCACAAACAGGCCCCAGATTCCGCGGCCTTGCGAGGGAGGGAGGCTAAGGGCCGACTGGTCGGGGGCTGGGGGAGGCTGCTCATACTGAGGCCAGTAGCCCCTGGGCGCCGGTGGCCGCTCCGCAGAGGGAGCTGACAGCCACTTTGGGTCATCGGCGCGCATCGCTTCATCCAGGGCTCTCAGATCAGCCACCCCCGCTCAGCAGGGCTATTCCTCTCTGCCCCCCACCACAGAGAGCGCGGACAGGGGCAGGCCAGCGGGCGCTCCTCTGCCGGTCAAACCCTGGGACAGAGCCCCGGGAAATACCCCGGACCGGAGCGCGTTCCTGCCTCAGATACACGAGTCAGTGATCCCTTCTTTGGGCCTGGGCCACACTGGTTTAAACAACCTCCCGGCTTCAGTGACGCCTGATTCCATGTCAGCTTTAGATCCCTTATGATCAGTGTGGAAAGCAAGCCAACAAAACAGGCTAACGCGCTTTCCAGTCGCCACACCCACAATGGAGAATACACAATTTAGGAGTGCTTTGCTTGAGCTAGTCACTTCTAACAGGGAAAGCATTCTCCCTGCATGTATCTATGTGTGTGTGTGTGACTATTATATGTATGTTCACACACAGAGTGATTTATATTATATTATATTAACATGCATACAATTATACACTGGAATATAATGTGCATAATTATGTGCATGCTAATAAATATAATATAAACCATTCTGTGTGTGAACATACATATAATAGTCTTACACACACATAGATATATGCAGAAAGAATGCTTTCCCTGTCTGAAACATATCTATATATCTATCCCTGTGTAGAATTATCTGATACACAGTCATAGCTTACAGTATGTATGATATACAAGTTATATAGAATATAAATTACATGTGCTATAAATATGAGTCTCTATGTATCATGTAAGTATGCACAGAACTATATACTTGTGTGACTGTGTTTATACAAAAAGAAAAGGAGTACTTGTGGCACCTTAGAGACTAAATTGGTTAGTCTCTAAGGTGCCACAAGTCCTCCTTTTCTTTTTGGGAATACAGACTAACACGGCTGTTACTCGGAAACCTGTGTTTATACAGTTTGTATAAATACAGTCACTCTCACATGCACAGCTATGTCGGCTGGGTGTATATGTTTGCACCTACAAAATATATTATGGATAGCTATATTATGGATACATTATGGATGGATATATTATGGATACATTATGGATAGCTATATTATGGATATATTATGGATAGATATATTATGGATACATTATGGATGGATATATTATGGATATATTATGGATAGCTATATTATGGATATATTATGGACACATTATGGATAGATATATTATGGATACATTATGGATGGCTATATTATGGATACATTATGGATAGATATATTATGGATACATTATGGATAGCTATATTATGGATATATTATGGATACATTATGGATAGATATATTATGGATTACTTGCTGCACAAAGTTATCACAGGAGGAAAGCAATGGAACAAAGGGCCCAGTTCCTTAATTCTGCCAAGCATATGAAACTAGATCCGGTAATAACTATAGATTTCATGAAGGCAGAATAATAACCAGCAGCAAAACAGACGGTATCAAGTCTCTTTTGTGAGGTGTGTCAGATGGTGCCCCCTCAAGCCAGGGAGGGCGGCGAGCTCCTCAGTATATTCAATGATCGTTATCGCGCGGCTCTTCTCATTTCGCGGTTCCCTCTGTAAAAGGGAGCATCCTTCTGTGACTCGGTGAAAGTGACTTTTTTTTTAAACCATTGCTATAGTGGTCCCCCCCCCCGCCCTCTCATTAACTTGGGAGTGAAAATACCTGGGGGGGGGGGGGGGGGAAGATTTTCCCTTTTACTGGAGACGAAAAAGTTGGAGAGGGAAAAAAACCCCGCCCCCGATCGCAGTTTGGCCCCTGGGCTGTCCTTGGCGCGGCTGGGGAGCTCGCTCGGGGTCCGTTCCCGCGGCAGCTGCCGGCGGGCCCCGGCCGGCCCGCGTTTCGGGGTGGTTTCCAAACGGCACCGGGACTAACGGGGCTGACCAGGCCACGCCAGGGCGCCTTTTGCGGCTGTAGAGTGGGTCGGGGGCCCGATCCTGAGCCGTGTGTCCAATACTCCCCTGCGGCCCCAGGCCGCCTCCACAAGCGGCCCCAGCCTCCCCCGTGCCCCCTATTCCCGCGGTAACACCGCCTCCCCCCTCCCCCAGCTGGGTGGACCCCACGCTGCCCCAGCCCGGGGGTGGGGGGGAGCCCCGGGGAGAAGCAGCCCGAGGTTGTCGCTGGCCGGCTTCCCCCGCCCCCCCCCCCCCGCCATACTCCCTCCGGTTTGTCAATGAACCGGCCCCGCCCCCGCTCTCCGATTGGTCGGGAGCTGGCTAATCGCAGCCGGCCCCGCCCGGCAGCCAATGCGGGGCGGCCGGCAACTTTACTTTTCCGATTGGCCCGCGGGCGGGTGAGTGACGGCCCCCGCCCCCGCCCGCTCCCAGAGGCTGAGCCCCGCGCCGCTGTCCACATGCAGCGGGGTCCTGAAGGCGGCTCCGGCCAGGCGCCTCGCTCCGCCATGGGCGCGCAGTAGCCGCGGGGCAGCCGAGACGGGCAGCGGGATGGGAGCGCAGCGCCGGGCGCCGGAGCCTGCCGGGGCGGAGCGGCGGGCGTGAGGGAGCCGAGCAGCCCGCCCGGCATGGTCGGAGCCCCCGGCCCGCCTCGCCCAGCGCCCTCCAGCTTCCCCGGGGCGGGGAGCCCCCGCCGCCTCCCCGACAGGTCCCGCTCCGGCCCCCAGCTCGCCCCGCGGCCGCCCGGCCCCGGATCGCGGCGTCCCCGCTCCGCGCCTCTCCGGCCCCTGGATTGCTCCGGACCCGCCTGAGGAGCTGTGCCCGCTGGGGGCTCGCCTGACCTTCGCCATGGCGCCCTGAGCCGCCCCGCTGCTGGGAGCCCCAGAGCCGGCGGGAGACCTGCAGGGACCGGGCGGGACCGGGAACCGGACCGTCCCGAACTCCTCCCCAGGTCCCGTCCCGCCGCCCGGAGTGACCGGACATTGCCGCGCTGGGAAGGAGCTTTGTGGGGTGGTTTGTGGCCGGCGTGGAGCTTAGAGGTCTGGGCGGTCCGTCCCCGCAGTTTGGGCTGACGGAGCGGGGCTGAGCGCCGGGGAGTTTCAGACCGGACCGGACCGCTGCTGGGGACCGCTCCGATGGAAATACACTGTAAGCACGACCCGTTTGCAGCAATGCATAGTAAGTAGGCGGCTAGTTCCACTTCTCTGACATTTAGCGCCGATCCGGCCACCCTGCCTGGCCCGATCACACAGCGTCCCTCCCGAGCGGTTATTCAAGGGGGGTCGGTGTAGCTGCCTCTGGGCACCACGAGCGAGGGCCAGCCGCACTTGACCTGCGCTTTGCAGGGAGGATGGAAAAGAAAACAACAGCCGCCGCCGCTGGCTCGCTCCTTCCCCCTTGAATTCGCGAGATAAACTTCTGCGGTGTTTCTAGAGTATGTGTGTCACCTAGATCCCCATGTACATGCCACTCCGACCAGCCCTTGCTAATCATTGTGTTGTGAAAGCCAGAGACGGAGTGCACAGATAGAAAACAGAAGGCAAATTTCAAACCTTGATTTACCTCGGTCAGGTATTAAAACCACTGGGTGAGGACTACAGAGAGGATCGCATGGTTAGATCTTTGCCATCTCACAGTGAGATTCAAATGCCCAAAGTAAGCAGTACAATCAAACCCCTTAAATAGTTCCACCAGACAGACCTGTTCCTTTTTGTAAGTCTCTTCCCCCCAGTCCCTTTTTGGCTGGCTTAAAAAGTTGAGGTTTCCCTTAGTCGACGTTTACCATTTGTTAATTATTTATGTACAGATAATTTTTAAGACAAATCTTTACTAGCAAAAATAGGGGTTGGAAATATTAGGAACAGCCTATTTTAGTGAGTATCATTTACTTTCTAGAAGAATGAATTGATGTACAAATATTTCTAAATCAAATCTCTCTCTCTCTCTCTCTCTCTCTCTCTCTCTCTCTCTCTCTCTCTCTCTCTCTCTCTCTCAAAGAAAACATTGTGTTTGAAAGATACAGAAAAGTTTGGTCTGCAGCATTTTTGCTAAATGTAAAATATCGATTTAGCCTAAAAATACCTAGCAGTTATCAATGATAAACTGAGTCTAAAATAATTTTCTTCTAAAAACATTGAATTAATTTTTGCAAGACCAAAGTCTGAGGAAGGGGGAACGTACAACAGAGTCCAAATGTTAGAACTAGCTGTGTAAGTTAGCAGAATGTGGACAATGTGTTTGCTTGAGGTTTGTTGTGAGAGGCTGGGAGAAGATTTATCCATTAACACAGTGTTATGTGAAATGACATCTTCTCTCACGGTGAGTTAAACGCTGGATTAGATCTAGAGATTTCAAGGAAATATAAAGTAGAACTAATCACATTTCCCTTATGCACTCCAGCCTTTTAGCCAAGACAGATTTGTTTTCAAAATAAAAGAACGTGATATATAGATAGAATCTATCTATCTATCTATCTATCTATCTATCTATCTATCTATCTATCTATCTATCTATCTATCTATCTATCTAATCTAATAAATTTAGAATAGGACACAGGGTAGATGACTACAGAAGGACAAACTGTAAACTTACAGGGAAGTGTAGAAGATGAACTACAAAGACAAACGCAACATTTTTGATTTAAAAAACGAAGGTTATTTTTTAGCTAAATTGAACGAGACATTTAAAACATTTTCAAAATAACCTGCTTCTAAAAAAAGGAAAGCTGCAAATGGAAAAATTGACTTTGATTTTTTAATTTACAAATCAAAATATTTTAACTGATGTGCAAATCGAGCTTTTCATTTAAGAGAAGGACAGTTTGAAATATGATTAATAGTGAAAAAACAAGATTTCTCCCGGAGTTGTCTTTCTGCTAATTTGACTGGCAACCATATGTGGAAAAGCCACCAAGGGACTTAGCTGCTTCCTCCATTAACCTAAATAATGATAAATCAATATCTTCTGCAGGAATGTAAGGGGAGGAAAAGAAATGGAGGGGCAAAACCCCAGTTTGATTATGATGCTTTTTGCTATTGCAGTCAATCTGTTTCTGGAAAGATTTAGTGCAACTGACTCCAAAGAAAAAATTCCTGGCTGAATTTTCAGCTGACCATTAACAGCCATTCTGTTCTCCCTCATGAGACACATTTTACCTAGTTAAAACGTTTGAAACAATAATATATATTGATGTGACTACGAGGAAAGGGATCAGAGATCTTCCTGCACAACAGCCCAGAGGCTGTTTTGTCACAAATGTTGATTTAGTCTTTAGCATCCTCAGCGGGCGAAGACAGCTAACGCCAGCCCCATCAGAAATACTCCCAACCTAGAACCTGATCTGGAGCCGAGAGCAGATAGATGCCCACCAAAGAGCGGAATTCCCTAGCCGGAGGAATCATTTCCTAAGGAAGTATGTAGCAAAGCCGTCACACAGCGGGAGAACAAACGCCGAGCAAAGAGCGGAGTGCTTACAATGCCTGCGGTTTTTTCTGGCCCAGGAATAACAATCCCACGTAGTTTCTTCATCCTCGTTGGAGGGGAAAGCTTGAAACCCGCAGGCAATGAGCCCCTGGATCCAGCATCGATGCAGTGTGTGCATAGACGCCAATATAAGGAAGGACTAAGGGTCGTTGCATTGTGCTGTGCTTTTGCTACTAGGAAAGTCAATTTTTTACAGGTGGGGACCAACACGTACCTGCCTATCGGTCTGGCAGCATATATTTATATTTGTTTGATACATGGTAAAGCAGTGAATAGGTGGGATCTGAATGGCATGTTCCTTAGTTTAACTACCTACCCACGCAGTAGGTTGGCTGGACCTGGGGCTCACCCCGAAAGTCTGGTCAGTGGTTGGGCTGTTTGAGCGAGTGGCGATTCTTCCGCTGCTTAACAACAGTAACCAGCACGGGGTGAAGAACAAGTCCCCCACCTCCATCGCTTCCCACAGCTTGTTAACGACCCCCCGCCCCGCCCCCAATCCCTGCGGATTTCCTCTGTCTAAAAGTTTTGGTCGTTCAGCTCTCCCGGCTCTTTGCTTCCCACGGGGGCGAGGGGAAAGGCTGAGAGGTGACGCGCAAAGGCGCAGGGCACTTTCCCCACAGAGGTTCCCAGTTGGCACGGGCGTGGATGTACGCACAATAAACCTGCCCAGACCTCACCTGCGCTCAGATTAGCCCCAAACCAAACCCGAATAAGCCGACAGCTCCTTCCTTTCCTGCGGACGCCGGGCTTCGCGGCAGGCGGAGGGGCGATCTGGTCGCCGTGCCAGGGGAGGGGAAATGCCGCGCGCATTTCGGCTGGGGGGAGGAAACAGACAAAATAAGGATGTGCTGAGTCAGCTGCTTCCCCTCGCCCTGGGGCGACCCTTGCCGCTGAAACCCACCTGAGCGGCACCCCGAGCCCGCGAGGACCCCCTTGGAAGTGGGCTGGGCTCGAACAGGAGGGACCGCCAAACGGACAGTTAAGAGACGGACTTTGCGAATAAACCCCGGACACGTTGCTAAAGACAATGAGAATTCATTTAGAAGGGCGCCGCTCTTTCCGTCGGTTTGCCTGGCTCTCCCGGCGTTTTCTAATCTCGAGACCCGAGTGGGAAAATACTGCAAAGGTGCTTGGTTCCTTGAGGTGCTGACAGTCAGCTTTACCTTCTGTAAAAGAGTTCCCACCCATTTCCAGGGGCGAGGGAATGTTTACAGAGAACACCCTGGGGTTAGTTTTCTCCAGGACACTTCTAGGAATTTAAAGGGGAAAAAAACAACAACTTTCTTTAATACCCCTTGTTAGCAAATGGGGTGGCTCTGTTGAGAATCAGCAACCCTTTCCCTTACAGCCAGTCGACGGAGCAGCGATGCTGGATTTAATGCTTAAACTGCTGCTGGAATGTGTGTGCATTCACAGACCCACAGCTCTATAATCTGTCTCCTTCTTTCCCTCACGGATATGCATCTATTCCTATATTACACACATATATACGTATGAAAACATACTAGACATGTAGGGAGTGTGTCCACACAGTTGTGTGTATATGTAATATACATATATAACACATAGACACAACAATACACACACACTCCCTACATGTCTAGTATATATTCAGACATATAGGTCTATATGTATTGTATACTTGAATACTTCTCAATGAAGACTACACAATACATATGTACATACATATGTATATCTGCATACATGTATGGATTGTGTGTCTATATTATATTATATTATATTATATTATATTATATTATATTATATTATATTATATTATATTATATTATATTATATTATATTCACAGAACAATACACACAATCCATAGATGCGTAGTATATATATTCTTCACAGTTTAAATTGCTTTAACTTTTCTCAGCAATAGGCACAGTAGTATAGAGTGCTACAAACTTGCCCCAGACTGAGATGCTTTGTAATTTTATACCGCCAGCGGTCGCCTGGCAGAGCGCAGTTTTCTTGCGTAGCCCCCCGGAACACACAGCAGACCTAGTCATTTAATAACGTGTATTTTTCACAGGGAGGGACTAGTTACCTCTGTTGCCCAGCAAAACTCCCAGAGCTGGCCCTGCTAGACTCGGGGCGGCCTGAAATTTGCTCTGGTGGTTCTGCAGGGTGATTGGTGGCAGGAAAGAAGATCTGATTTTTAAAAGCATTTTTTTTTTGCCTTCCTTCAGTGAGAACTTCCATCTGCTAGCCAGAGGAGCAGGTGATAATGGGGACAAATGCAGTGGAAGAGGAGAAGGCATCCCCACGGATGGATCGTTCTCCTTTCATTTGAACTAGTTATTCCTTTCCCATCCCATACATTTCTCCAGCCGGAAGATGAATGGTGCAAATCCGAAGGCCCGTTAGCTGCCCGTAAAAGGCTCTGGGATGCTCTTTTACCCGGTTGCAGACGATTTGAACGTAATTTAACCTTTCCTGCTCCAGCACACCAATGCAGGGAGCACAGTCCACCCCGGCTGAGCAATTTGCTCTGCACAGTGGCCCTAGCTGAAGAGGATCATCTCAGAGCCTGGGCTGGTGAATATCACTGCTGAGCCCTGGTCTCCATCGCCTGGAAAGGCAAGTGGGGATGGCGAGCTCCCTGGCTATTAAGACTTCGCCTCAGGACCAACGTGGTTTTATTTCTGGTGGGGTTGGGGTGTTCATTTGCCCCCAGCAGCATGTTAGAGCTGTACGGAGAATACAGAGATTTTCAAACTCTTGGCTAATTTGCCTGGTCATTAGCATAGCGCAGCTTTCCTTTGTTAGGCACCCAGAAGGATCCAACCCTGCCCAGGTTCAGGAATCTCTTCCTCAGCACAAAGCTGGTGCCGTAGAAGCTCGCCCCAGGGGTGGCCAGTGTTATATATATTTTTAAATAAAGCCACCGACAAGTGCTTGATGATTTATCGCGACATCTTTATTATTTAGCAGCTGTAACAATTCTGTCCTCTTGGAGGGAAAGTCCGGGTTGGTGGGGAGTGCGGTACCTTTTAGGTGTGACTCGAAAGCGTTTGAATCTCCCATAGCCAAACTGGGGGCTGTGTGATACAGCAACAATTTGGGGCTATTCCCCCGCCGAGAGATCTTTGTTAGGCAGGTTTTTGTGTCCTCCCCCCTCCCGCCCCCCGTGGGAGGACTATAACTCCCTTTCGAGAATGACTTATTTTAAGTCACAGCCAATATTTATTGACAACAAATATCAACGCACACGTTCCCCCGCCTGTATTTTAATAATCACCTTTACACTTGAAACGAACCCCGGGACACTCCTGCAGGTGTTGATTTTTGGCTGTTTGGGGGAAATGCGGATGGCTGACCGCGTGGCCTTACTACCTGCCATCGAAGTGGATGGGGAAGTTCAACTCGATCAGGGTGTCACTTTCGCCGAGGAGAGCTGTCAGGGCATGTAGGTAGCTGACCCCCCTGGCCCTGCTGAAGTGGGGGAGAGCACTCCCACTCCGCTGGTGACCCACAGCTTCCGCGGCTGCTGCTGGGCGAGCAAGCCAGCCTGGCTGGTCGCGAACTTGGAGCAAAAAGAACCGCACAACAGAGGGGCCCTTTGTTTAATTTTCCATCCAGAGGGCAAATTGTTCTAGGGCATGAAGGAACCTTTGACTCTTGGAGAGCTGGATGCCTACAAAACACCGAACTTGTAATATTTGGAGGGAATAATTACAAAATTAAAACCCTTCCCCAAACAAAGTCTTAGCTTTCAGTATCAAGATTCTTTCTTTCTTTCTTTCTTTCTTTCTTTCTTTCTTTCTTTCTTTCTTTCTTTCTTTCTTTCTTTCTTTCTTTCTTTGAATTGCTTTTCTAGATGAAAAGCTAAGGAGCTCTGCCGTTTTTAAAAAATTAAATATGATGTTAATAATTTAATATAATTGAAATTGCTAAGGAACCAGAGGCCAGTTTGTTTCAGTTAAGTGGAGCTGTACCTGTTTTTTGCTATTAAAAACAACAAGGACATTATTTTTCTGGCCTTAAAAGCATTTCAGAATCAAAACAGATAGGTTCTGTAACCCTACAGTGCTGGGATGGTTTACTCTGGAAAATGCAGCACAAGGTTATTCTCAGACTTCTCTTGATATGCTCTGAATAAACTTATTTTTGGAGCAGAAACACCTGGAACCTGAAGCTTCCACTCAGATCTGGTGTGCTGAAAAAAACGTTCACTTCTGAAATGGGCAAGGAACTTCAGTGAGGGGCTGCTCTGTGTAGGCTTAAACTGGCTTGAGTAATCAAATATTTTATGTGGATTCCTGATGTGTGCTGACAGTTTTAGAAGGTGTTTACAAAGTTTGACAATAGTTTGTCAATGGGGAAATGACAGGATTTAAATAAAAATAGTTTATACGATTGTTTTTTTTAAGCATTGTTTTTTTAAGACCTGTCAGCTTATTCTGTACCATCCAAGTTCCCTGTAAACAGAGATTTTTCTTACTACGTTTTTGTTCCAGTTTTGGCAACAGAGCTGTCTCTTGCTATTATTTGTTTTCAGTTTCACCAGCTCTCTGTTATATTTCGATGATTAACAACTTGAGAATTAATTATATTTTGTCGCTTGCTACATGGGATTATTACATGTTCCTTGGTTTTACACAGTATAGCTGCTACGTATCTAGCTGGGTCCCATTTCACATCAGATATATGATTCACCTTGCTAAAGGTGGACAGTGCAAATCTGCTAGAAAAAGAATAATATATAGGTGTGGGCTAAGCATTCACATTTCATTTGTGGGACCATAATGTCTGCAGAGGCCGCTGTAAATTATAACAGCAAAAGCCATTCCATATTTTTCCCCTTTTGATTAAATTAAGCATTAAGCAATCATTTTGGGGGGAAAAGTAAATGATCATTACATTCAGTGCAACCCTTTTCTGACTGAATGAAACTAAATTTATAAGGAAAATGGTCCAAGTCTTATTTGAACACAGCCTTATATTTGTAGGGAGACTAAAATTCACCTTTTAACCATGCAGCTACAGGGCTTACTCAAGCAGTTCTTACTCAGGCAACATCTCCCACTGGTTTCAAGGGGAGATATTGCCTGAGTACTGCTGGTCTGGGCCTAAAAATGTAATTTGAAAGGCTGTTTTACAAACTAGGGTCCTGATTTCAATGTCACTTAAATCAGGAGGAACTCCATTGAAGCCAGGGGGTTACATTGGTGTGAAATTGCTGTGAGAACAGAATTAGGTTTCAACTTTTAAAATTCTTCCTGCCTTGGCAGTAAGGGATGATCAGTAATTTGAAAATGCTTAAACTCTTGTTGAGGAGTGAGGCTGATCATAGTGAAGGCGGAATCTGTGGTTAAGTAAGATTGCAGTAGAGAAGTGTCTTCCAACTATCACAAAGATGTTGTTTTCTGCTTGTTTTTTTTTTCTCCAATGTGTTTCAGGACATGGAGGAGTGAATCAGTTAGGGGGTGTTTTTGTGAATGGTCGTCCACTCCCTGATGTTGTCCGCCAAAGGATTGTGGAACTTGCCCACCAAGGTGTCAGGCCGTGTGACATCTCCAGGCAGCTCCGGGTCAGCCATGGTTGTGTCAGCAAAATTCTTGGCAGGTAACTTTGTTTCTGCAAAGGAGAATATTAAATACTGGATCAAAGATTATGAAACAAGAAACAAGTCAATTGGAGACTGATAGAAATGACCAAGGAATGACAGGAGACGGTATAGGATCAGTCAGTCACAATTTAAGATGTCTGACCTGGGAAGTGAAAGTGATTGATTGATTTGTTTGTTTATTTACTTCACCAAAAAATTCTTGCAAATAACTAAAGAAATGAAGGGGAGAGATGGCCCATGTGATTTAAGTTTCCTGCACCTGTGTGTACTGAAAAATGGACAGATCTGTGAGTCATTTGCAGTAAAATGGAAAAACCAGAAGTTATGAATCTGATGGTGAAAGCTGCCCCTTTTGTTTTCTAAAGAACATTCTATTTTTAGCACATAATTTCACTACCGAAAGCTACCAAGAGCAGTTGTCAGTCAGCACACTCATTTACATGGCCTCTTTGGAAATTTGTCACAATAATTTCATTTTAAGGCTTGTTTTATTCTTGTAATAAGATATATTCCTAATTAGAACACACAGTACCATAAGTAATCATTAACTCTCTTAATTTCGGTACTTTGAGAGTAGCCATCTGTTCTGATTGGAGATGCTCAACGTGGTATAACAATAGTAAATTAAAAAAAAAGGTGTGTATCATGTCCGAATTTGGTTTTGAACTTGATTTAGATTCAGGAAAGTCATCACTGCATTTTAACTCCTTGTGCATAAATCTGAATATCAGATATCCCTGGTTTTAAATGCACTAGAATGCATGCATCTTGGGAACTTTTACCTGCCACACTTTTCTATTACCTTCTATTTTCTCTTTAAAACTCAGAGAAGTGTTTTAAATGTTTACTGAGCATTAACAATTGAATTAACTTCATTGTTTGCATTCCACTGGTATTAGTCACATTTTGACCTTCACTTTCTCCTCTCAATTTTAATTGATCTGTTTTATTGGTCAGACTGTAGTTATAAAGATTGTTAGAGCAAACATTTGTCGAGCAGTGTACATAGACTCTTCCCCCTGAAATAACTGCAGCAGCAGTCCCACATGGACAAATGCAGTACTCAAAATGAAATGAATCTGGCAAAGCTAAGGATTTGTTCACCGTTATTCCATGAGACCCATTGTCTCTACTGGAGAATCTTCTCTGCAGTCTTATTCACATTGCTGCTATTATGCCACAGGGGCCAGTCAGAATGTATGCACAGAAGGTCCCAGAAATCCAGGAGACCTGGTTCTTCTCTCACACACCAGTTTTACTCCAGTGTAATTCCATTGGAACTCAATGAAGTTACCCTGGATTTTACACTGATGTAAGTGAAAGGGCACGTAAGCGCTGATATTTTTTCTTTTTCTGAGAGAGACTTTTCTTGTGTTTTATATAGGACTTTCCTGGCTACCACAGGCTGCTCCATTCTGTTTGATCTTTGAATCTTTTCTGAGTGCTGGTCCTATCTGTGACACCCTACCACTCTAGCCGATTTACAAACCATTTCTATTAGTATCAGTGCAAAGCTAATAAATAGGCAACTACAGGGGAAAAGTCCAACCACTTTATTGTTTCAGATTTGAATAGATTTGTCATTAGATATATTTGCATTATGGAGCTCAGAGAGCAGCTCTGGAGTTTTGTCATTTAAGTTGTCAACAATAAATTGGAATTTCATAGCTCATTATTTTCATAACTAATAATTATGGTGGGTAAAATGTCACTGTAATTGGAGCTGCCGCCTGCGGGGGGAAAAATATGAATGCACCACATAAAATCGTTTGAGTCCAAATTCTGGAACTGAAAGTTTTTGAATCCGCTTGTTTTTGGTCAAATGTTGGAAAAAACATGAAACGTTCAAAGAAATAAATGTGAGCCTTTGGGGCGATGGTCTGGATGGCTGCAGAAGGAGGCCGACTGTAGCTGATTGCAAACGGAGCATTACAGCGGGGGCGATTGCCCTGTGCCCATCTGAGGGGAGAATTGGCAACCTGCCCGGAGCTCAAGGGCAGGATCTAATTTGCATAAAATCTAGCAGATTGCAGCTGCCCTCATCTTTAGTGTGGGGTTGTAGCCAGTTGGAGAATTGCATTGTGGGAGCTGTAGTCTCTTTGGGACACGCCCCAAGTTAAAGATGAGACTAACCAGACGGGAAGAGTGCCCTGTGGAATTCTATAGGTTTAGTTGGCCTGCAGGTTGCACTTTGGTTGTCCCAGCTTTACAGGGAAATTGGGATTAAGTTATTCCGGGGCTGACTCTGTAAGGGCATGATTTTATGCTCTTTAAAGTCATTGGAATCTTTCTGTTGATTTTAATGGGGTTCAGATCAGGCCCTTACCCTCTATGCCAATGTCCTTCAATGAGGGAAAACTGTTACCCAGCAGCATAGGGTCCTGTCTGTCTCAGAGTCCAAAAACGCAACACCAAACTGCTTGTCAATTGCCTGTTTCCCTGTTGCCTAGATTGCCCAGAACTGGAGCCAGCAAGAAACAAGGAACAACAGCCAGTGATCGTGCATGTGTGCAGGCCCAAGAGAGAGCGAGAGAGAGACTGGTTACACAGAGGGATTTTTATAAAATCTGCCATTTTTTATTTGCCCCATGAAAATTGTGAGCAGTTAGTAAAGCAGCATTAAACCCAGTTCTGGAGCTTTCACTCACTGATGGGATGCCATAAGTGAGGGTTACAAGGTCTGGGCTGCATGGTCATTTTTCATAGGCATGATTTTTTTAGGTGCATCATGCAAACATGTTTTCGCCATTATTTCATCATTCACCCAGGTGCAAACATCATCTTGTCACTCCCATTAAAGGGATTTTTTTAGGCTCTGAAAAAAGAGTGCCCGCGGGACAATTAAACCTGTAATGCAGAAGAAATTTGATCAATGCAACTGCCCTTGATACACAGAGTTCAGTCCCATAACATGCTCATGCTCTTTTGCATCAGAGAGATTTTAGGAGATTCATTTTCCCGCAGACAATACAGATGTCAAATAGCTGCAGAGAAAATATATCATGTGAACTTATGTTTTTATTGGGTGGGTTCTAATATGGATCCTGCTAAAAATATGGTATATGCCAAAGTCAATGAACAAGTTCAGGCTGCTAAAGATGATTCAGCCAGGCAAGGTGTCCCTGTATGGAGAACCCATAAAGAAATGGGAGCTCTAAGCACAGAGGGCTTTTAGAATCAGGTCTGATAGGGAAGAAAGTATCAGTCTCTCTGCTGTTAGTTCTGGGCTTATTTTTATCTGTTCTTAGAAAATTACAAACTATAAAAAAGCGCACAACATCATTGACTTACACAGCCAGAACCACGTCATCTCTTACAGCACAACTTTTAGGCTGATCATTTAGGGAGGTTGTCTTCTTCCTTAGATTTCCTCTTGGTCCTCTGTGGACAGAACAAGACTCCCACTTTGAGCAATACAGTAGCAGCCGTTCTCAAACTATAGGTCGGGACCCCAAAGTAGGTTGTGACCCTGTTTTAATGGGGTTATCAGGGCTGTTAGACTTGCTGGGGCCCGGGGCCGAAGCTGGAGCCTGATGGCTTCAACCCTGGGTGGCAGGGCTCAGGTTGCGGGCCCCCTGCCTGGGGCTGAAGCCCTAGGCCTTCAGCTTCGGCCCTGCCCACGGCAGTGGGGCTCGGGCTTTGGCTCCCTCCCCCGCCGCCCAGGGTGGCGGGCTCGCGTTGGCTCAGGCTTTGGTCCCCCCTCCTGGGGTTGTACAGCAATTTTTGTTGTCCGAAGGGGATGGCAGTGCAATGAAGTTGGAGAACAGCTGCAGCAGAACCTCAGAGTTACGACCACGTCGGGACTGGAGGTTGTTCGTGACTCTGAAATGTTCGTATCGGTGAACAAAACATTATGGTTCTTTCAAATGTTTACAACTGAACACTGACTTCATGCAGCTTTGAAATTTCATTATGCAGAAGAAAAATGCTGATTTCCCTTTATTTTTTACGTTTAGCACAGTACAGTGTTGTATTTGCTTTTGTTGTCTCTGCTTTTGCTTGATTGCGCACTTCCAGTTCCAGGTGAGGGGTGTGGTTGACTGGTCAGTTTGTAACTCTGGTGTTCGTAACTCTGAAGTTCTACGGTAGTTTCCAAGCTTTTGTTTCAAGAAAAAGAAAAAAAGAGTCTGGTTCCCAGCTGGCATAAATTGTTGCAGCTACACTGAAGGAAGGGGAGTTGGTCCCATTTAAACCAGCTGAACAGCTGTCAGTGTCTTTAATACAATTCTCTGAAAGGGCCTGATCCTACCACTCTGTCTGATTGGAATAATTTTTAATCACATGAGTAATCTCACAGGTGTCAATAGAGCAATTTGCGGGCCAGGGTTATGGTATCAGGCCCTCTGAATTTAAAGAAACCAACCACACTACTTTCTTCTGAGAATAGTGATGAGGAAATATTTGTTTGCTCCTTAAGAACTGGATATTGAAACCATAGCTCTCAGGAAAAGAGAATATAACAAAATGTTACACTGGCATACTTACTTCAAATGTCCTCTGCAAATATTTGTCATGATACTACTTTACCCGGCCTTCATGTGGGGTGAAGTGATGACAAGGCATTTACATTAATGAAGGCGAATTTCCCTCGAAACAGTAATTTATTACAAAAGAGTTCAGTACAAAAATAATGGTGCTGAATGTGATTTGTTTCTATTATTGCCCCTACCTCTGATTAATAACACACATTTCCAGTTAATTTAGGAACTCAGCATGCCCTTTAATCTTGCATTGTTTCTATTGTCTTGCTGTTATGGAAAAATATATGTTTTATACTGGGGCCCATTTTCAATTACTATAAATTAATCCATTGGGGAGATAATGTCCTACGTAGCCAGGAAGTGTGAGTGAAAGGGCAGATGTATCGTAGAAGAGACTGGAGATGCGTTGCACTAAAATAGTGCACACTGTAAATCTCCAGCCTTCCTGGCTGTCAACTCTTAGTAACTAAAGCTTTGTCTTGGATTTGTCTCTCCCAGGTACTATGAGACTGGGAGCATTAAGCCTGGAGTGATTGGAGGATCCAAACCAAAGGTCGCCACACCCAAAGTCGTTGAAAAAATTGCAGAGTATAAACGCCAAAATCCCACCATGTTTGCCTGGGAGATCAGGGATAGACTTCTAGCCGAGCGAGTGTGTGACAATGACACCGTACCCAGCGTCAGCTCAATTAACAGGTACAGATTTGGACAGCACTGGTCAGGGGCTTTCATGGCTGGAATTTGCAGCATCTCCTCCGTTGGGTTCTTCCTGGGGCATTTGCAAGTAATCCGCTTTTTGTTTGTTTCCTGGATGACTTGGGCAGCCCTGAAGGCCAGTAGTTGAGCACAGAGGCAAGTGTGTGGCTTCTTATGAGCAACTGCTCTCACCACGCAGCCTGGCTGCTGCATCCCATCCCGACCTGCAGTTCTTTTGCTGTTAAAGTCCCATGCTGATTCCAATGGAGACTGCTCGCAGGGTTGGATTCGGCAGCAAGGGATTTCAGGGTATAAACGTTCCCTAGGGATAAGGTTGAGACCACCAGCCACCTGGACTACCGGTGATCTAAAAAAGCTTTGAATTCAGATTCAGCGGAGGGTGGGAAGAGTGAGTTCTAGTGGTTAAAGCACGTCAACATTTCTGGATTCCCTTAGGCCAGATTCATGTTCGGTGGGGTAAGGTACTACTCACCATGAGTAAGGCTGATGGAATCTGGCCTGTAACCTTTACATGCCTCAATTATCCACCTGTAAAATGAGTGGTAAATGTACCTATCCAGAGGGGTGTTTTGGGAGTTAATTAATTTTTAAAAGAACTTTCAGAACCTCACATGCAAGGTACTACCATGGGGCCCGATCCTGCATGACAGGAGCTTTGCCATTGACTCTCATGGACACAGGATTAGAGCCCTGCAGAGGTACAAAGTATAATTACTTCTTTTAACAGGTTTCAGAGTAACAGCCGTGTTAGTCTGTAATTCACAAAAAGAAAAGGAGGACTTGTGGCACCTTAGAGACTAACCAATTTATTTGAGCATATTTTGTGAGCTACAGCTCACTTTATCCGATGAAGTGAGCTGTAGCTCACGAAAGCTCATGCTCAAATAAATTGGTTAGTCTCTAAGGTGCCACAAGTCCTCCTTTTCTTTTTACTTCTTTTAAAGTGCTCCACCTTAAATGAATCTTATCCAGAACTATTTAGGAAGCCAACACTCTCTTGCTCGATGGATGGGATGCTAGCTCACACCGAAGAGAAAAACCAGTGTTCATCATGACAGTGTTGAGAAACATCTTGTGAAAAGTTACAAAAGTCAGTAACAAGTGTTTAATGGAAGAGATATGAATCCCCCAAACATTCTAGATGGTAAGCAACAGCCCTCCATCCTCTGTGGTATTCTTCTCAGAGGGCTCTTCATAGTTGACGATACAGGGTGTAGACATAAAACCCCTTTACATTTAAATTCAAAGACTGTGTGGGGCTGTGAATCCATTGTGTGTATGTGTGTGGTTTTAAAAATCAAGATAGTTTTCATGCAATTTCATCCAAATCCCCAGAATGCAGCTAAGTCTAAATTTCCATGTGTGTCTAGGGTCATGTAATAAATAGACGCCATATTATTTTGTATGTCTGTTTGGGGATCCCAACCTGGATGCCCTTGTGGAATTGCCCCTTAAGTATTAATAATCTCTGACATGATACATGAAAAATAATGGGTGGCCCTTTACCTCCTAATCGAATGTTATGTGACAGATTTATGGGAATAAGTGCAAAGACTGGGTAGACAATTCAAAATGTTTAATGCTGTCGGCAGTTTCCTAACTGGAATGAAATCCTAGCAGCATTCAGTAATACTGAGAGATTTACAGATTTTGGCAAGAAAGAGATTAGTTTGAGAAACAAAACAGAAACCAGGGGCCGAAAAAAAATCTTAATACTATATGTCCTCAGATAACCGAAGGCCAGCTCCACACCCACTGGAATCCATGGGAGTCTTTCCATTGTCTTCATTGGTAGCATGATTATTATTTTTAATTATTGCACATTGGGGCCCGGTCTTCATTGTGCTAGGTGCTCTATAAACACATAACCAAGAGACACTCCCTGCCCTAAAGAGATTACAACCTAACCAGGCCTCTTGCATGTTTTAATCCAGTTTTCACATTTCACTCTTTTGTTGCCTTCTCTACCACCCCAGTGTAGTTCTCGTACCAATAATATCATGGAGTGATCCCATTTACATGTTAAAAAATTGTTCTGGGATTTGTAAGTCACCCCATTTGGTGGAAATCTCATCCTTTCTCATCCATCTGCAGTTGTGGCTCAGAACCTCCCTTTGAAACACGTTCAAGCTTTTTGCATTGGTTTGTTTTATGGTGAAGAATCGTTTTTGCTACCTTACAGCCCCATCCTGCTGTTCAGAACTTGCAATTGCATGTAAGAAAAACCCTACATATGGTAATAAGCCAGGAATCTACTCCAAATACATGACGTCCCAATTCTGCAGCCTGTTCCTATTCAGCTCTGCTCTCCCTGGGACGCAAGCTTGGGATTAAAGTTAAGCATATACCTAAAATCTCTGCTGTATTGGGGCAGTAGGGTCCGATCCTGCATATCTTTGCTCACGTAAGGTAGTCCCACTGCAGTCAATGGATGTCTCATGTCGTTAAGGACTAATGTTGTCACTGGGTTTGCTGGGTCTGTCCCTTTAAAAGCAGATATCCAGTTATGGGGGGCGGGGGCGGGGTCTGAGAACCCTGTGGGAAGACTACCCAGCCAGAGGATGATTGTCTGACATTCCACTGCATGTGACCTACAGTCCATAGCAGTCTCTGACCCCAGCTCCAGAACAGGAGCCATGGGGCTGGTGCACATACATAGGGTGATGTGAAAGTCCCCATTTAGTCTTAACTATGACACGAAGGATTTGTTTTTCTCTAGCCCTTGGCAAAGAACAACTCCCACATCCTAAGAAGGCAAAGCACAGAATTTCTAATAGTTAAAACCATCAACCCGAGCAGAGCGCCATAGTGCAGATGCAGGGCGGGGTGGGACAGATATAATATACACTCCTGCACATTACATACCTACATGTGTATGTCTGCACGCAGGGCAGAGTAACATTAACACAGGATAGCATTTTCAAAAGCAGTTAAATGATTTAGGAGCATTTTCCAAAGTGACTTGGGGGTGATTTTTAAAGGTATTGAGACACGTAAAGATGCAAACAGGTGCCTAGTGGGGTTGAAAATGGGCTTATAAATCACATAGGTGCTTTTAAAATGTAACCCTCTATCCATTGACTTTGGATCCCCATCGGAAGTTGTCCAGTAAGAGCTCTTGCTCCTGGTTTGTGACGTAAGTAGTTATATGCAATGGCTGCACAGCCTATTTATGTGGAATAAATGGAGGGGAGTCATGCCACATCCCCACTCCTCCTGGCCTCCCTGCTTCATGGGGGGGAGGGAGGCACTAAGGAGCCAGCCCAGTGCTGCTTGCAGTGAAGGCAGAGCTGCACTGGGGAGCTGGCTTGCATGCTGTGCATTCTAGCCGATGCAGTTTCTTATCCCGTGCTCATCACCGCAGGACAGCTGAATGCCTCCTCGTACAGCGTGCCTTCCAATAACACCTGGCAGGTGTCTGTCACATTGATTAATGCACGACTGGAAGGTGCTCAGATACTATGGTGATGAGCCAAGGATAGGAACCTGGATAGAATAGAATTCAGAATTTGGGATCGCCTCAATTAATACAACCAATACTTGATAATATTAATGAATATTAATCATATGATACCCCTCAGCAGGAGCAAATTCATGACAATAAGGTTTAATTAATCAGAATTATTAGCTTCACTCATGTAATCTGCAAGCTCACCAGCTGCTTTATTATCCTCTAGCCCTCCAGAAATAAAGATATTTACGTGTAAGAAGGCCCTGAATTCTCTCGATTCATTCTGACAACTCAAAATCTTTGTGTAAAGTGTTATTTCCTCCCCTTCCTTCTCATAGAGATGGATCCACTTGAGGAGCTCAGTCCTGCTCCTAGGTCGGTGGCAAAGCTCTCACTGACTTCAGTAATACAGGATTGGGCCCCTGCTCCAAAAGGCCTAGCTTGTTGTTGGGAAACAAGAATGCTGGCAGGCCCTGAGTCAGCTTGGCCCCACCACTGGGAGTGTAGTGATTCGCACTCAGCACCCGGGGCTGCTTCCCAGTCTGCAGCTTTCAGGGCCAGATGGGAGAGGCAGGGAAGGAGTCAGTCCCCACTTTAGGGAGCACGTCTCATCGGCTATTTCTGCTCAGTAGAGAAATATGGGGCGGCCATGTGACCAAGTGCCTAGTGCACGGGGCTGGGACTCAGGAGACCCAGACCCGGATTCTATTCCTGGCTCTCTGACTGGCCTGCTGGGAGATCTCGGGTGAGTCATTTCCCCTTTCTGTGCCTCCGTTTTCCCTTCTGTAAAACAGGGATCATGATACTGACCTGCTTTGTACAGAGCAGCAAGACCTTCTGATGAAAAACTCCTACATAAAGAGTTATGTGCTGTTACTATTGTGGTCACTACTGAATGGCTGTTAAGTCATAGAAAAAGAACTAGTGGGAACAGATAAAAATTCTGCAGAAAACTGATTTTACATAAAAGGACTCTGAATGATAAAACCCTGATCTGGGAATAATTTTTAAGCTTCTTCCTCTTGCTATATGCACAAATGCAGACCCCCACAATAACTTTACACAGTCGGTTCATGAATGAAGTTTTGACATTCTTGGGTGAACGTATCAATGTGCAAAAAACTGGTGTATAGCAAGGCATAAACTGGGAATCTAGCTTGTTAAAAGTTCCCCAGGAGAAATCATCACCACAGCATGCTGTCAAAATAGTTCATAAAATATACACATCTACTATGAGAAGCATGTCAATGAACTATGTATTAGCTGAGTCAAGACCACTCTACAGTTAGTATTTGGGCCTGATGTTCCTTCCACTGAAGTTCATGGCAAAACGTCCATTTATGTCATGGGGAGAAGGCTCACACCCTGTGTCCTTTCCGTTAATACATTGTCACTGCAGTTTTTGCCAACGCATTCCTGTTACCTTTCTTGATGACTGCCCCCTTTCCATAAAGCCACCATACACCCTTTCTTTTATTTCTCTGTATCCTTCGACACCACATGCCCACCTGTAACAGATGCTGCTCTGTGGGAACCCTGGTGTAAATTGGGAGTGACCCCTTTGAAATTCATAGAGTTACTCCAGATTACACTGGTGTAAATGAGAGCAGAAGATGGTGTGAGTGTCCAAGTATGAGAAGGTAATTGTTGAGTTTTGCTGTCTTGCGTTTGGTCCAAGATGTGTTGCTTTCAGTATTCCATTTGATTTGGGGTAAAAACTTCAAACACTCCTCAGAGACTTAGGAGTGTAAGTCCCATTTTCAAAAGTGACTTAGGGCCAGATTTTTAAAGGTATTTAGGCACCCAAAGATAGGTGATAGGTGCCTACTGGGCTTTTCAAATATGTTGGTGCCTAACTCTTACTGAAATCAACGGGAGTTTGGCACCTGGGCACTTTTGAAAATCCAGCCAGGCATGTACCTGTATTTTCAGGCACCTGAAAACCTTAGGTGCTTAGGAGCCTAAATCTCAATGGAACATGGGCTCCTAACTCACCTAGGCCCAGATCCTCAGCTGTATTTACATGCTTTACTCCCACTGATTTCAAAGAGGTTCCTAAATGCCTTTGAGGATCAGGATCTTTGGCACTTTTGAAAATTTGGCCCTAGATCTGCCCAGCTGTCTAACTTTTACTACGCTTCAATGGAATAATACAGGAAGAGATGTTTCCTTTACCATCTAGGTGTCCTGAATGGACAAAATAGCTTCTGATGTTCTCCGTGCACTGCTCTTATTTACCTGCAGTTTCTGCAGTGTGCATGCCTCATAGTAAGGAGCCATTTGTTTCTTTTCAACTACATGCAGAATCATACGGACTAAGGTACAGCAACCACCCAACCAGCAGGTCCCAGCCTCTAGTCACAGCATAGGTAAGTCAAACTTTTTTTATGTTAAAAAATAATATAATGGAATACAAATATTCTAAAGAACTTTTAATCATTCTTATGGACAGATAATTCTGCATAAAACACTTCAGCACACGTCCTAATGCACCTTCTTTGTCATTCTGCAAGGGCTGAACATGGTAAATGAATTTTATAAATACTGCTAAAAGGTTTTGAATTTTACTGATTATTATGATAAATAGCTTTCACCGTGAGACAGAAAATTGAAATCTAAACCAAAAAAGCCCCACTAATGGGGGTCTATAGAATGTCAGATAATTAAAGTAATAAATCAAGAAAGGGTTACTTATTCATAACATTTTCTGCATCATTAGTCAGTAAGTAGTTTTGAATGTGTTTTTTTCTTCCATCAACTAGCCCTTCTATAATTCTTTGTGCACTTGCAGTCTTGAGTGAAGAGGTACCAAAACTTTCCAAACTTTCTTCTCCTGTTCTTCCCTTCTCCTTCCTAATGCAGATGTTCAGGCCAGAGCAATGTGCTCTAGCCAAGTTCCGATGCCACTTATGTCAGGAGACAGCAGCCCTGGTGAACACATTTTTGTGGTTAATGGAGTTGGTGGCCTCAGTCCAACTTTCTTGTTCGTGGAGATTTTTGACCTCTCTAAACATTGTCTTAGGCACCTGCATGTATGTCACATATTCTTCCTTTGTAGGCATGTTCACTTCAGTCATAAGGTGGAGCATTCCTCATTTGAAATTTCCATTTCCCACAGTATTCATGCCTCCTTACGTGCAGAATGCAATGAAGGCAGTGAGCGGTGGACATTATTTACTTCAGTTGAACAAAGATTTGTCCTTTATAGCTAATCCTTAGGAGGTTAAACTTGGGTTTGCTTTCTTAGTAGCAAGGCGTCCCATGGAGGAAAGGGAAGGGAAGTTGGACTTAGGGTGACGGTACAAGACTTAGGTAATCTGGATTCTATTACCACCCATGCTACAAAATGGGACTGCCAGTAAGCCACCTTGCTTCTGGGTCTGGTACCTCATTCTGCAAGTAGCCCTTGTGGGATAAGGTATTGTTCAATGTAAGGAAAGGCAGCAGAATCTGGTCCATAAGCTCTCTGCCTTAGTGTCCTCACCTGTAAAATGGGGATAATGCTAACTTCTCAGGAGTGCTGTGAAGTTAAACAGAAATATCTGGGAGGTGCTTTTTGCGAGACTCAGGTGGAAAGCTTGTGGGCGTACTGCTATATCCAAACATTTGGAATCATTTTATCAAGAAAGTGACTCTAAGAGCCTCCGATGAAGAAAAGCAGCAGCTAGCGTGAATTATAGTTTAAGGCTCGATTGTGTTACCAGTGAGCTCAATAGCAAAACTCCTGATGGCTTCAGAGGAGCCTTTGTTTATACAGGGGCAAATCCTGACTCCGCTTTGCTCTGCACAGACGGAAGCTCAGTGATTCATCCAGATGCTGTGGCCGCTGAGCACAAACAGAATGCTGACTCTCCCTGCTGGCATTCTGGGATTAGCAGCTGTGGGATGGCCGTGTGACAGCCCGTCCCCTCCTGCATCCAGAGAGGGGATGTCACCCCACTGCCCTGGGCCAAAGGACGTGTGCATGCTCATGTTTCCCTGTCCCCAGGGAGGGATGGAGAGTCAGCTGTGGAGAACCTGAAAGAGGCCATATGGGCACAGCAACAACACCGGCTGGCAGCTCCAAATTTACATTGACCATTACTAATGCCACTCCCTGTAGGACAGGTCAGTACCCCACCTGGCCTACCGGGAACGTTCTGCCAAATGGAAGCAGCTTTAAGTCATGTCCTGGACAGCTCCTGGGGGCTTTAGCTCCATCCTCTCCCCAGCTGGGCCTGCCCATGTTGTGTGCTGTGCTCTTTGGCTGTAGGCCCCCTGGCAGACCCAGGCTTGCGGGCAGGTAGATTGTTACCTCCTTGCTCTAGGAGCCTGGGTTCTGCCTGTTTATGGTGACAGAATCCAGGCAGTGAATCATGCACATTGACTAATTCTTACCACATGCCAGGGTGGTGTATGAGGATGGATGGGGAAACCAGAGGAAGGAGGGTAAGTGCTGTGCCTGCGGTCACAGAGGGAGTCAGTGCTGGGATTCGAACTCTTGGCTTGGGCACTAATTCCATCTGCGTCCTTGGTCAAATCACTTAACCATCTTGCCTCAGTTTTCCTACTGGGAATGTTATTATTTAATGACTTGCTTCCTAGAAGTTGTGTGGAAGGTTAATCAGTTTGTGCTCACAAAGCATGTTGAAGATATAAAGTGCAATCTCTAATTGCTAAGCATTATTATAATTATGGTTATCCTATCCACCTAAAGCCATTCCACCTCTTTAAAGCTGTAAACTGATAACCAGACATTTAGACAATGTCATCTGGTCTTGATAATCCTTCGAAAGGTTCCCGTAGCAGGGCGCTTGCCTTACGCTTTCCTCCTATTTAGTATTCTGTGTAATGCAGGCGAATGACTCCTCTCCCCCTGTTGCAGTCAGGATGAAGGGTTTAATACAAAAGGCTCACTGAAGCACTGCAACGGTTAGGTTACCAGCCCTGGGGTTCCCCCACTAATAATCAGCAGTCTTGGGTTGTGGCTTCAGGTTAACGCCACATCACACTAGATTCTTAATTAGTGGCTTAATATGTAACGTTACATTTATTGTATAGAGAATGAGTCAATTAAAAAAAGATAGACGGTAGATAAAACACAACTTGAGCGTTGACATTTGTGAGGTGCATATATAAGGTGTCTGATGGGCGTGGCAGTGAGACTGCTTTTAAACGGCCCTCACTGGTCCATAAAACAAGCACAGTGTAGTTGTTATTATTATTAATTGGAGCCTAGTCAGGGACCGTTGTGCTAGGCGCTGTACAAACACAGAGAGAGAAATGGTCCCTGCCCCAAAGAAGTTACACTTGAAGAATAAGATGAGAACAGATGGAGACAGACAGACAAGGGAGTGCAAGGAACCAAAGACACAACGCTGTGTCAGCAGCTGTCCCATGGCACCACTGCCAAATCTGACTATTTTATCACGACTGTCACAATATCTGGTCTGTTTCCGAACGTCTGAGTTGCTGGAATCAGATTATGGCTTGAGAACCGCAGCTTTCATTAACAAGCTTCTAGGCCATGTGGTGGGAGAGAAAAGGGTGAGACCTGAACCCTCAACACTCCGACACCCAGAGGGAAATAAAAAGGACCCCACTTTTTAAAATTATTTTGTAAATCTAATGATTTTGGGGGCCTGATTCCTGCTTTCTGAACGCTTGGGTTTGGCACCACGGCCAACCGTGACTGCCGCCAGCCCGTGATTTTCATGAACAGGGAATGCCAGGAACCAGAACCACCGTGGTACTCCTAGAAGGGAAGCAACCTGAATGGAGCACTGCCCTGAGTATTACTCTGGGCCCAAAGCTACTTTTCTTGCTATAGCGGGGCTCACTTAGTGAGTCTTCAAGGGCTTCAGAGTCCTGGGGGCCTTGTAGGCAATCTGGGGGCCTAGTGGCCAAATTATAGTCTGTCCTTCTCTGGGTTACCCCCAGTTGGGTTAGGGGCAGAGGGAAGGGTAGGGAGATCCAGGCCCTCCCTCTCCACTGGATCCAGACCAAGGGGGGAGGCTGTATTTCCATCCCCTCTAGCTGATACCCTAGACCAGCCTCCCCTGGGCCACTTCCTACCTCCCAGTGTACTCTTTGTTTTGGGGCATGATCACAGCCCTCTGCTTTCCTCCTCGAGGAGGCTGTTCAAGCAGTCGCAGTGATTCAGAGGGTCACTTGGGGCTGCCCATCTCCCTTCCAGTGTCCAGTAATTCCCCCTTGTGAAGAAGAAGGGGAGAGAAAAAGGGGTCAGGCCCCTGGCTGCCCCATCAGGCCTTGTCCCCAGTCCAGATCCTTCCCTTGTGGATTCCTCTGTCCCAGAAGGTTCTAAGTGGCTTCCTTCCTGCAGACAACTTCTCCTTACCTCTCCCCAGCTTGATTGCCAGACTCCCATTTTCATCAGGTCCTCCATTTGGAGCCTGCTCCTCGGCTGATGTGGGGCAGGGACTTCTTGGCCCAGCACCGCTCCATCACCACTTTAGTCTGAGCAAGGGGGTCTGTAAACTGCATTGCATGTGAACACGCAAAGCCCCCATTGCAGTCCATTGTGTGCTTGCCACAAGCTATGCTCCATCAGCCCCTTTTCAAAACTCACGTGCCAGAGGAAACACAACAAAACAGGCATCACCATTCAGCTTCTTAGCTGGGGCACTGCAGAGTCACATGAAATTATTGTGGCTGAGGGTGTGGAAAGTGGTCCCAGGATGACTGGGAGGGCAGGCGTTGTGGGCACGCTTTGGCTTCCATGTTCCACCAGCATGCTGACTGCTTTGCTTTTAATTACAGCCTCCACGGGGTCCGTGACCCAAGTCTCGACAGTGAGCACTGACTCCGCAGGCTCCTCCTACTCCATTAGTGGAATTCTGGGAATTACATCCCCCAGTGCTGAAAGCAACAAACGCAAACGCGATGAAGGTAAATGGGCCTATTTTCTCTTCGGTGGGTAGCACGTGCTGAAAAAGGGACGGGCGGCGTCAGAAAGATGGTCTCTCGGCTATTTGTCTTCAATATTCACTTTCTTAGAACTCACCATATCGAGTTGTGTCTGACATGGATCCATGTAATCTGCTTTTGTGACTTAATCTGTTAATGTGGGAACTGTTTCTTCCGGAGTACTATTGCACGACCAGTTGGGCTGATATGGCTACAGAGACGATAGTGATGCTAAGGAGACATTGCCTCTGTGTGCAAGGTTTTCATGCTGGTGTGACTCCATCAATGGCAATGGAGTTTCTTCCGATTTCTACAGGTCTACATGAGATCACAATCAGGTCCAGATAGTCTGCCCCTGCTCCACTTGAAGTCAATGGCAGGTAGAATGGAAGCAGGATTGGTCCCATTGTCAGGTGCCAGTATTCATATATTATAAAGCACTTGGGATGCATTGCATTTTTCAATGACTTAAGAACAAAACTGAACTAAACTAAGAAAGCTTCCTGCCCATCAGGGCAAATGGCAAGATACATTATTATGATGGCACAACACTACACCTTGTTAAGAAATAAAATACAAACGAGCTGGGTTAGACTCGTCTGAGATCCAGATGGTTTATAGGAACAGTTTCCTTTCTCCAGCATTTCCCCAGATCCCACTGACATCAGTGGGATTTTTGACAGCGAAGGCTGCACTGAAGATGGCTTGATTTTGCTTCATACAGAGCATTTCCTATAGTTTTTGCATTCTTCTTAAGGTTCATAGTTAAATGTCACTGTGCAGTCTGGATGTCGCTTTGAGGAAGATGCTGCATTACCTTTAAAATTAAGGATAATTTAGGAAAAAGGACGGGCTATTCTGAGTTTGAATTTTTTTAAAGATGCCTTAAATTAAACTGGCTCTTTCCTTGAAGGGGTGTAAGGGATGTTTCTTATTATCTAACCACAGGAGTTCCAGAGGGCTGGAAATATCATCAGGAGAACATGACAGCCATATTCACCTATTATAATCAAAGGAGTGGGACAATTTTAACCCTGGGGCAAGTTTAGGGCCTGATTCTGCAGACATTGGGTATGGGAGTGACGTCACTGGGACTTCTCACACGTGTAAATTACTCACACATGGCAATGGTTGGAGGATGGAGGCCTTCATCTGTTTTCTTTCTGCCCATTTGTTGCCCTCCCCCCCTCCCCCCCCGCTGCTTAAAGTACTACAGTCGGGTTCGTGGTCACAAAGCGCAGACACATTCAAAGGACACTGCTGCTCTTGACGAGGAGCTCTGTTCTGCCATCCACGTGCATGCCCTGTTCATGGGATTTACACACACACCTCAAGGGGAGAAATGACCCCGGAGTGTTTGTAAACTCTGGGTCAGGAAGGGAAAAAAGCAGTGTTTTCTCTGTGGCCTTGAGCCTCACAAACAGCCTGAATGGACATTTTATTCAGTTATCCTCCTGTTCAATTCATCCCACTCTTTGTATGTACACACAGAGTACGAGTCTGACTTTTAAACAGCCCGGAGTGCCTGTCCAAGTCCAAACAATGAGTGTGCATGGCAATTCCCAGGGCTGCACAAAGCAGTCAGGTGCAGAGGGCCGTTTAGACACATTGGGTGAAATCCTGGGACCATGGAAGTCAATTGCAAAACTCCCACTGAGCTCCGTGGGGCCTAGATTTCACTCAGACTGTGGCTGGCTGCATGGGTGCAAAGACTTGGTTTGTACATGCAATTGCATTAGGTGTGCACATTAATTTGGTGTGCAGATGCACACCTGAGTTTTTGAAAATCAGGCCATAACTATACAAATAAATATTAGCATTATAATAGGAAACTCTCTAGTTAATTAAAGATGCATAACCGTCTACCGTGGTGATAAGAGCAGTATGGGAACTGGGACAGAAAATATAGAAACTCCATCCCACAGCCCTGTTTCCAGTGGCTTGTAACTTTCCAAAACTTTCTCCTTTTGGGCCGACATTTTATAGGGTTGATCTGTGCTGAAAGGTGATTTTTAAAACTGCGAGTAAAACTTTTCTGCAATGCATTAAGGTAAAAGCTGCATAGCCCCTAAGGTTTGGGAGAGAGGCAATCTCAATGTTGCAAACTCTCACAGGGATATCACAATAGTTTCCTAAATTTCACCTAAAGCCCCCGCTCCTGGAGCCACAAAAGAATCTCAGATTTCATTTATAAGAAGTAAACCCTCATAGTTGCAGAGTAAAGATTGAGAATGTGAACGTGAAAGGCTCAAAACCCAGCAGGCTACCCATCCCCAATACTCCTATCTGCAATTGCAGTACCGCTATCTTCCACTGCCCACTGAAGCTGCCCAGCTAGTGGGCTCCCTCCTGCAGACTCGTTAAGTGGGGTAGACAGGGTGCTCTGGTAAGTGTCTAGCTAAATGTTCCACATTATGGAATTTCTTTTTCCTGTGTTAATCCCCCCTCCCTCCCAGTAAATTCCATTAACACCCTTTTCCTCTCCACTAAGCGATTGTCACCCAAGTTAAGCACCCAAAGCGCACTCGAGTAGTACAAAGAAGCCCCACTTTTGTATTGCAGACTCTAGGGAAATGGAATCCTATTATATTGTATTATTTCAGGAAGAGGAAAATGTGATGGTTTAACAATGGCCTGTATCGTAATATGTATGCACAAGGGGGCAGAGTTAACTTTGCCATTTACTGACTCTTGTGAGGTCAATGCTACATGGTTAACGGTCTCGTGGGTTAGTTGTTTGACACACGTCTCTCTCAGTATTGAGGGAGGGGTCTGTATGTACATAGATCTCTGATAAGTGGAGCCACTGACCAGGTAACCATTGTAAATTGAGCTAGGCTTCTGTCTGAGTGGGATAGTGAAATGGAATGGGTTTGCTCTTCAGCACTCAGTATGATTCCTTGATGGTTTTTGTTCCTCTCCATCTTGACATTTTTTTTAGCAGTGGTCACCAGTCTTTAACCCAGTGGGTTGCTAGCCTAATAGCAACAGGGGCAAACCAAATCAACAATCTTTATTGGCTTACACTGCTGAAGGTGTCATTCCCTCTCCTGCATTGTAAAGTAGACTTGGAGGAGATGTGCCTTAGTGGGGGATTGGTTGCTTTCACTTATAGTTAAAGGACATACTACTGGGGACTGATACAAGAAGCAGACTACATAGTAGCTAGACGCTGGCATACTAAAGAGAGATGCAATTGGCTTTCTAAGTTTAAAAAGGCAGACCCATTGGTCATGGTTGCTGTTTTGTTTCCAGATTCCTCTCTCTAACTTTGGTTGCTTCATTCAGATTTTACCTGCGCATAGTGGGGAGCCCGAGCGATGCATGTTGAGTAGATGGGTGGGAGGATGTAGAGAATGATCTTATTTTATCGTCTTCTAATAAATTCTGTTCAGCTGAAAGAAGGCCATAGAGGGGTGCAGGCAGTGAGCGTGGGACCCACATGTAGGTTAGGTTACATTTTAAAGACAGGTTTTTACAAATATCCCTATTCAAAGAAATTGTTTTATTCCATTAAAGGTCGCCTACATTTTCAGAAATGACTCGTGGTTTTCGGGGGCTCGGTTCCTGAGGGCCTAGTCTGAGCCATCTTAAAGGGTCCTGAAATTCAGAAAGTGCAGAGCGGCTGCCCTCTGAACAGCAGCATCTCAAATGAGACACCCAAAAATGGAGGCTCCCAAGATCACTACTCTTCTGTTTGGATTTAAACTTTCCCCCGTGATGTATGCCACCCGGGGTGAACATAGATCAGACGAGGAGGGGGAGTTCTCCAGTTCTGGCTGCTGTGGTCATGTTCAGGGTTCTTTTTGGTGGCGCACTGTTACATTGTCTTGTGATGACAGGACAAAGCTACAGGAGAGAATAGGGGAAAAAGGCAAAATGTATGAGAAAGGAGGTTGTGTCCCCAAGCAGACTTACATCCAACCAAGGAAATGAATGTGTGTAGTGTGTATGCAGTGTGTGTGTGTGCATGTGTATGCTTGCAGTGTGGGTGTGTGGTGTGTACTGTGTGTTTGTGCAGTGATTGTGTGTGTGTATAGCTCAGCAGGGTCATGTCCCTGGAGGGCCCCACAAGCCCTTTGCTATAAGTGATGAGATTTTGTAACAACAATACAGGCGGGTGCTGGTGCTCTTCCTCGGCAGTCGCTGAACTCACCCGGCAATCACTGCATGCGAGAAGAGGGTTAAATACATGTTTTTAACAGAGAGATTTGATACAACCTCTCTCTCTCTCCTCCAGTGTTTCTCTGTCCGTCTCCCCTGGCGATGTCTCCTTCCTCCCCCTGGAGGGAGTGGGCAGCCAGCAGAAGGGCACAGCTCCCTGTAGAGGCGGCACAGAGAGGGCTCCCAGCTGGGATGCCTCTTCGGCTCCCATCAGGTGGAGCTATTGCTACCCCAGTGTGGCTGGGAGCCCCAGCAATTCCCCAGCCAGGCACCAGCTCCTGTTGCTGCTCTCACTGCAGAGTCTGCTATTTGGTGGGGTCTCAGCTCACAGTCAAGGCTGAAGGGAAGCTGTGGGGAGGGGGAGCTTCCCTTTTCTTTAACCCTGGCTTGTCACCGGCTCTTTGCGCCACTGGGCTAGTGCATGAGACCTGCAAGTGAAAACGACTGCACCATGAGTTAGGTTTGGCAAGCCTGTTCCCTTCGGCCAAGCTGAGCGACCTGCGCAGAGCAAACAAACCTACCTGGACGAAAGCACCTGTGATTTTGAAAACCATTTCAGGACGAACACTCCCAGGTGGTGCTGTTATTCACCTGGGGAAGGAACGGCTCCGCCCTGATGTGCGTACCCGGGCACACCCCATATTCCAACCTGAATGGGGGTCTTTTCCTTAGTAAATTCTGCAGGATCGAGCCTGAAATTTGCAAAGACCCCAGAGGCAAGGAAGGCTGTAAAAAGGGTGGGTGCAGGTGGGCAAAGGTCCCAGGCAGGCCCCTATAAACAGTAAAAGTGAGATTATGTCACTGGTGAGTGTCTGTCC